CCTTTCCCCTAGTAACATGGATTTGAAAACAATATTTCTGAAAATGACATCCAAGACTTATTTTTCAGTTATAAAGTTTCCTTTCTTCCATCCCAGGACTGTTTTCACAGTACAAAATCTCAGCCAGAAGTTTTAGAAAAATCATTTAAACTCAGAATACTTAAAGCAAAAGATATTACTTATACATATGGAGGATTTGAGGGCAAGGAGGTTGCCTGGGGGTTTTATTTTTGCTGTTATCACCAGACTCTGTCCATATGAGGGACTGCAATGATACTAAGAGCTACTTTGCCTATAGAGCACCTCTGAATTTTATTTTCCATATTCCTTGTATTCTTATATCTCACAAACTGCCTTTTGGAGCCTCTTCCTTTCCCCTCTCCCTTTCATTGTCATTTGTTCATATTTAATTACATCTCATATGCTCCCTGGTGCAGGTGTGATTATTTTTTTTTATGTAGAAGATATAAACTGTGAGTTTACTCTTTTCCTGTTTCTTAGAAACACAGAATGTTTTGGGTCGGAAGGGACCTTAAAGATTTCAGCCTATTATGTGTGTCTCTTCCAAGAAAAGCTCAAAATCTGCATTCCTCTAAACTGTTCATTGTCCATGGCTTTCAAACAGACAGGAGTCTACTAGTAACCTCAGTAAAGATTCCCCTTTCCAAAACAGCCATGACCTTTTCCAAAATGCCCCTCAGACTTGATGGTAAAGAGAGGATGAATGGAAGCTGTCTTTGGTAAGGATGGATGGTGGCCTGCCTCCATGAGGGAACATGCGGGATGGAGCTGTTCTGAAAAAACCCACAACTGGTTCCAACACAAACTCTCGATGAGGCTGAAGTATATCTGACTGAATATTGCACTGTTGGGCCACACTGAGTTAATCTGAGCACACATCATTTATAATCAATAACAAAGTTCTGTCATTTCTCTGCCATGGGGTGCTTTTTTGGTTTTTTTTTTGGTTTTTTGGGGGTTGGTGGTTTTTTTTGGTTTTTTTTTTGGGGGGGGGTTGTTTTGTTTTGGTTTTTTTTTTTGGTTGGTTTGTTTGTTTTTTGTTGTTGTGAAAAGAACTTAAGGATTTTCAGTTTCAATTAACTTTGAAGTCGCAGACAGTTTTACTCCTTCTGTGTCGGATTAATTCTAGCTCTATATTTTCCACTTGTCATGGTGGACTCAGTGTAGCTACATATAGTAATATATAGCTAGAATAGTAATGTGGAAGTAGTCAGGGTGCCAGGAAGGGGTTAAGAAATCAGAATTTTCATATAGTGGTATTAGCAAAGTAGAGAGGACTGTTCTCCTGGGGTTTTGGATAGAAGAACGTACTTATGATGGGTGCTGCAAATCTGTAACGCCTCCTCCTCAAGTGCTGCTCCTATTGCCACAGATAAAAGGCATTTAACACCCACTTTGCCTTTTCTGGTCATAAACCTTTTCAGAGTGGATATGAAATCTGCCTCACTATGTTTTGTTTTCAAGGTGCTTCTTTTCCACCCTTGAGGTTTCCATAGCAACCTGGATCGTTTGTTTAAATTGGAGCTCCCTGGCCTATCCTCCCTGCACGTAACTTCTGCGGCGATCTTGCAGGTCTCATCTCTTCTTGGCACACCTGAGAGTGACAGGTGAGGGTTACAGAGGGGCTCAGCAGCAGCTGGCCATGAGAGTGCTTTCTCCCCTGTTGCCCTATTTAATTTACGTCATTCTTCTTCTGTGTAGCAGTGTTCAGCATGGCTTTGTGGAGTTATTACAAACTCCCTTGAAGCTCGCAGGTCTTCAGTGGCTCACGCTGGAGAGGCACATCTTAGGGGAGCTAGAAGGCCTTGTTTGAAGTAAAGGAAGTGAGGACTGTATTGAAGAATTTTAATCAGAATGTGGAGCAAGGAGATCTGTTCCATGGCCCCCATTGTTTAATTTAGATTTCGCAGCAGAAACAAAAACTTTGTTCCGTACACACAGGAGGTTCTGCTGGCTGAGCAAGACTCAGAGCAGAGTCTTCACATCACAGGGGATCATCCTGATGGACAGTGCTCACTGGATCCAGCATGCTGCTCAGCCAGAAGTTGTTTCTGACTACAGCTTTGTGTGCAGCTGCTTTGCTGGTCACAGAGGGTGGTTTTCATTCTGTTGCTCTAGTCCCTTGGTGGAAACATCACATAGGTCCACACTGAAGAGTGGGTTGGTTATAGCTGGTTTCTTAGCTGCCAGTGCCGTCCCCCGCTCCTGAGCACGTTTCCAGCAATGCCCACGTGCCAAGACAGGCTGCGTGCAACCTGCAGTGGCTGACCTTGGGAAGTAAGCTGCCAGAATATGATCCCTTATGGCAGAAAAGAGCAGAAAACAGGCTACTTGGAGGAACTCACAGGCTAAAAGGAGCCCTGGTGTTGGGTGGGATGGGATTTGTAGCTGTGACTTATCACTGGCCATCGGGTACACATCATCATTAGGGAGGGCTGCGGGAAGGCTTCTTGCCCTGAAGAGCTTCTGATGCAGAGAGCAGAAGATAAAGCAGGAGTGAGCAGAGATGTGATTTGCCAGAGGGTGTACTGGCCTAGATACACAACCCACAGTCCCAACCTGGTTGGTGCCTGGCTTGTTAGGCTGCAGAATTTACATGGTTCCCAGTTCTTTCTCCCACATATTGCTTTCTGGAGGCAGGTCCATTCTGGATTTCTGCACTGTGCCGAGGAGGAGACAGCCTGGCTGACCAGCATGGCATGCCTTTAGCTTGAGTTATCTGGGGGTTTTGAAAAGGAGGGGCCACAAGATGCACACTCCTCAATTTTTTTGGAGAAACAAGGGCTAGTAGTGCAAGAGGGATTTAAAATTGCCTGGTGGTGGTTTCTGTTGGAAAGCAGTGGATGGCTGCAGGCTGGGCGTGGCCAGGATGGAGCACTGGTACCCACTCAACCATCCCCTGCTCAGGGGAGGGGAGGCAGCAGGCAGCAGTGTCTGAAAAACTGTACCTACAGCAAACTTTGCAATATCTGCAATTTCTCAATGTCGATGAAGCCATCACAGCTCTTACCAGAGACGAGGTTGCTACCCTGGAACAGGCTGATAAGACAGCATGAAGAAATCCTCCTGGGCCTCAGAGCAAGGAGAGTGATGGAGTGAGGGATGCAGGTTGGACGCAGTTGGACACCAGTTGGACACCAGTTGGACGCCAGTGTGGCAACTTGGTGCTGCAGCAGCCTGAGCATTGGCTGCTTCTCTGCAATTTCCCTGTATTTTAAACTGATAATTTTTTCCTTTGGTTCACCAGTTATCTCCTGGCTTCACTTCCCTTGCAGAGACTAAAGTGGCACCTTAGAAAAGCTGCTTCCCAGTGTTAAACAAAGCATTCCTCAGTGTTGGGTGCTGTAGGCTTTCATCTGACAGGGATGAGGTTACACTTTTTTTTCTTTCTGCTTGTCAGCATTAACACCACTCTGCCTCCCCTCTGCAAAGCAAGGCTTCAGTTGCTGAACCATCACTCAGCAATTTACTACTGTGGTTGTTGCAGTTTTTGTCTGAAGTCCCCAAAAGGTTTAGAGATTGAGTAAAAAAAGTCTCTAGGACTAGGTTACTTGAAGTCTGATAATTCAGTTGTCAAGAAACTTCTGTTTTAATCTCTAGACTTCTGTTGATTTCTTTCTTGATTGCTTACAAATAGGCTTAAAAAGAGAGGAAACAAATAAATTTATTCTGCTGAAATACGTGGATGCTCTGCAGTGTTTTTAATTGCAGAAGAAAATGGAAGATAAAATCCATCAGAAGCACTAAGATCTGATTTATGGTACTGACTTAAGATTTTTAATCTTGACTCATGCAGGACAGATTTTCCTTTTGCCCAACCTCCAAAGCCTATGTGACTGTGGTCTCTGCTGGTCAGGCCTCCCCTGCTAGTTTTGAGATGTGTGGTCAGTTCTGTCCTCTGAGAGAGGATGGGAAGTCTCAGAAATAAACCAATTTCTTCAGCTCTTGCAGAACTCAGCAGTTGGGTACAGAAGAGAAACCAAGAAAAGCGCTCTGTGCTCTGACAGGTATGGGTTAGGCTGAGGATGCCTGGCAAGGAATGGGAGAATCCTCCTCAACTCGCTCCCTTGCTGGTAGTGTTTCTGCTCCTCCAGCTGACACTCTGCCCAGGAGGCAGCACAGCATGCCTGGCCATCGGCACCATCCCAGCCACCAGCTCGGTTGTGGACCATGTGGGAAGGCTGGAAACTCCCAGGGTTCATCAGCAGAGTTCTCCCCTGCACACAAAGAGGGTTTGGTGTTTTTGTTGTTGTTGTGTTTTTGTTGTTGTTGTGTGTTTTTTGTTGTTTTTTTTTGTTTGTTTGTTTGGTTTTGTTTGGTGTGTTTTTTTTTTTTTTTTTTTTGTAAACTTCTTAAATAATTTTGTGGGACAAAACATTTCTTCCAGATTTTGAACCTGGGACAGAAAGTTTTGGACTAGAAAAACTTATTTCTGCACTGCTTAATGGATATGCTTAATGCTCACAGTAACAGCTAGACAAGGTAATACATCAACAGTGAAAGCCGTGGAAGGTTAGAGGTTAATTTTACTCCAAGTGGCAGCAGCTTTAACCAGCGGAAATATTCAAAGCAGTCAGTCTCCTAATTTATTGAAAGTATAGTTTCATTCTTTAAAGTGCTGATTTTTCTGCAATCACTTGTCTCCAGCTGTCTGAACCGCACTTTTATCCTGTATACTCTTAACACCCTATCCTGATACATTAATAACAGTGCTGGGAAAAGCTACCATCCCTTCTGATGTCTGTCGGGCCAAACAAGGGAAATTTAATGTAGCAGTTTTTGTCGGGGAACACTTTGCAGCTCTCTTTCAAAACAAAGAGTCTTGTTACGACATTTCCCGCTAGTGGTGTGATGACAGCCAACTGCTGTTAACTGAGAGGTGCTATTGAAACACACTGACTTTTCACTTCAGCTAGCAGTTGACAATTAAAACAGTTCTGTATAGAGAATAAAATAATACATTTCTGTGAGAAGCATTAATACATTCAAGCATTTTAGTTAGTACTTTGCTGGAATGGCATTGGGCAGAAGCTTTATGGGATTTATTGCAGCTTGTAAAAAGTCAGGCAAGACTGAAACTGAGATATATGAGGTGGTAGGAGCTTTGAATACACAAGCTCTGTATTAACTGTGTTGTATCATGAGCTTCTCACAAGTATTGACGAGTGTTTGTCACAACCTACAGTCATGGTGTGGGCACATCCTCGTCTTTCAGTGCTGGCTGCTGGGCTGGAAGGAAATGGTCCCACTCCCAGATCTGGTCACAGGTGAGTCCCCAGCTAGTGAGAGGCACCTTCAGGGATGGTGAACACCATGGTGTCCCTGTGCCAGGAGGCATTGCTGAGCTGGTGGGTCTGGGTCTGCTAAACTGTAGTGGCTGGAACTGAGGAAGAGGGAACAGGAAACACAGCAGAGACAGGGAAAAAGAGGAGCTGGGCATCAAGGATGGGCTGAGGAGGGTCATGCCATGAAGGTATCTGTTCTAAAAAAAAAAAAAAAAAGTTGGGAATCAATAACCTGGCCGAATTTCCCACTCATTAGTTTAGGCTAATTTAGAAAGAAATTATTTTCTGCTACAATGGCCAAGTTACATATAAAAATTGGACATATTTATAGACATAAAAATTAGGAAAACCTTTTAAAATGTTATTTTGTCCAGAGAATTAGTTTGAAACTTCAGTAAGTGGCAGGGTGATACCATTTCTGTGTCAGACTGCCTAGGGAGATGTAAAAATCCTTCCATGCACCTATAGTTCAGGCATTAAAACATCCAGTTTGAAACATCCCTCAGAGAACTTGCCCTTCCTAGCAAATCCCTGGTACACTGGGAAGAGCTCTTCATGGAAGAGCTACTTCACTGGGAAGTAGCTTTAGTAGAAATGATTTTTCACAAGCTACCTGCAAAGATCCCAGGAGGGACCTGAGCCTCCTGCTGCCACTCACAGGTGCCTTGCTGAATGTATTTGCTCTCCAAGATATGGTAAGTGCTGTCAGGGAGTTTTCTCACCCCTTATTACCTGAGGTTGTGAAGGAGAGCCCTGGCCTGCAGGAGGCTGGAAGCAGAGAGTGCTGCAGAGCAAGCCAAATCTCATCTTGCGTACGGAAATTTCCAATCCTGCAGCTGAGGCCCTGCCAATGCCTGCCTGCTGCAGAGGGCAGACAAGCTTACTCCTCACCTGTTCTGCTGGCTGCAGGGCTCCCCACAGCTGCCCCCAAGTGCTGCCAGGCAGGATGCCCCTCTGCATAGCCTGGGGAATGTAGGGTGAAATTTTGAGTTTAAATCAAACGTGCATGTGTGCATGCAGCGAAAGAGACAGGAAGACTTACCTTCTGCTTTTAGAGGTAGTCTGTATTGGCTACCTGTTTATTTGGTGTGTCTTTTCCAGTTTGTAAGTATCTGTCAGATTGCAGTTATCTTAATGTTTTTATTACTGTTTAAAAAATGGTTGTTTCAGGGTGTGAAATGTAGTGGAGAAGGAACAGCAACTCCTTCTATGTCCTGATGGAAATGAGTTCACAGAGAAGGATGTTAAGTGGAAATGTGCACAGCGAGGTGTGGTGGCACAGCGGTATGGCTGGAAATGCCACCTGCCAGGACAGCAAGAGGCAGCTTTTACTCTCAAGTATGTTTTGAGGATATTTGAAACCTGCATGCTGGAGATAGACTAAAGCATCCTGTGGGGAAGCATCTTATGCTGGGGCCCCATCAAGTCTGACAGCAGGGATACTGCTCCATTTTGGGACACAAACCGTGGTGTTCAGGATATCCACACTGGGATTGCCCAGCTACAGGTGGTTTCTGTAAAAGCCCTGGCCCTTCAAAAGTTTCTTTTCCTGCAGGAAGAGGTGGGTATCTCCCTCCATCCTCTTCTTAAGCTTTACTTTCCTTTCTGTGGCATTCAATCTGATAGCCAGCAAGAGGAATAATAATTAATAGGCCGTGTGTGGTTTCTATGATCACATTGTTAAATGAATGAACAGATGACAAACTAATTTCCATGGTGCTGTTTCAACAGTGTTAGTTGTTTCTGCTCCTATGAAACTGGAGTTTTAACTTCCCAAGGCCGCAAACACACATTTGAAATGTTCCCAGCTCCGAGTAAAGATTCCCTCCAGCCCCTGTGCTGTGTGCTGGTGTACAAAGTGACTTCAACCCTGTACTATGCAGGATCTGATGATCCATGTGGCAGAGGGTGTCTGTAATCCATACCATGTGGTCACATTTCAATACCGGGAGCTGCTGAGATTAAAGTCATGATTTAAACCACTGGAGTAAATATAGTTTTTACATTAGCATGTTGCAGATCTAAGTTGGGGGATTATGTCACAGGATATTTTTTCTGAATTGTCTCAAACAAAATCTTCAAGGCCTCCTGGTTATTACCATGGTGATCTTGCTCCAACTCAGCACCGACATTTCCCAGAGCATTTTATAATCATATTTGTGAGGGATTAAAAGTTTGCTCCACCTGAGTTTGCCTTCAGACTGAACTTTCTGCAGGAAACCAGGTAGGCAGTTTGGACTGGGGACACGTGTGTTGAATTTCAGATATCAAGTCAATCAGCCTTTTTTGGCTGAACTTTGGATCCTTTTGGGCTAGAGCAGATTAAATTTACCTTGCTTCAAATAAATGTGAGATGCTTTTCTGACAGAACAAGGCTCCTGTGTCATCTCATTTCTGCAGGATAGACAAGCTCAGCCCCAGAAGGCCTCCAAACTGGTCATCAGGCTTGTCTTCTTGGAGGGCTGCACCGAGGAAACAGTTTGGCCCTCACTGTGCTGCAGAATCAAGTTGTCAGGAATTAAAGCAGTTGTAAATGGAGCTCTTTGAGAGAAAGTTATTCTACTGCAGCAGGGCTGTATGGGCTAAATTTAGCCATTAAAATCAACAGTAAAAAACACAGCCTTCTGCAAGCTGGAATGATTCAATTTGACCAAAAAGAAAATTGTTCCCTTATTAAGTTAATTGTATCTCCCAACAAAAAGGCTTCAAAATGAACCTGGCCCTAAAGCTGCCTTGGGGAGCTAGGAAGCCAAGAGATTGCAGCAGGATGTTTCATAAAGCCAAGTCTCTTAATATTTCTTTGACACTGGCAAGGGGCAAAGCAGCCAATCTTCTGGAAACACACTAGCAAGTGCTTCTGCTCCCTTCAGTCCTTAAACTGTATTCTTGTTTCATTTTATCACATTTGAGACAGGGCTGTAATTTACGGGTGTTTGTTTCCAGTGCAGGTCCTGAAACATTGCCACTGCTAAGGCAGTTTGAGAAGAGGAGGGACCAGTCCCATGCCTTACCCGAAGACAACGCTGAGACTTTCTGATGGTGAGCTTACAAAAATAAGGCCGTTTCTGTGTGCTGGACTGTGTATGCTGTATGTAAGCTTCTGTAGTTTTTTCCGAGCATTTGTCTTTCTCAGCACAAACAGCATATTTTATGGCAAAACACAACAAACTCTCACTGGCTGCAGCTTGGTCGTAGGACCCAGGGCTGCTGGGATAAGTGTGTGCAGATCCCTCTGTGGGCTAATGCACTGGCAGTGCCCCAGGTACCTCCACACTGCAGTGCTGTGCTGCGTGTGCAACTGAGCACTGACTGCTCGGCAAACCCCCGGGCCCTAAGTGTGTTGTCCCTGTCCCCTTGGCAGCACAGACCAGGATTCCTGATAACGTTGCTAAGCCTCTGCTTCCTTCCCAGTTCCTAACCAAGCTTCAAAAATATCCTCGAGTGGGTGAAGCTATCCTGGAGAATGGCTTTATGGGAATAGTCTAACATTAGCTCTGAAGAGGGGACAGACTTACCATTTCAGGCTCTTACTCCTTCATACTTTTCTACTCTGCTTCCCTCCAGATCCTTTCCTATTCCCATCAAATGTTTTTCTTACACTGTTGGTTTTTTCCATCACTGAGAGTCCTTAGTACGCACAGTTCCAGCCGTCACTAATTTGCAAGCTTTTGTTTCGGTTCAGTAACACTTTTATGCCATTTTCTGTCTGAGTATCTGATTCTGCATCCCATTGAAGAAGAGAGCCCACAGGGGAGCGGAAAATTTTAGGATCCCTTCTAAAAAGAAAAAAAATGGAGTCATACTGAGGCAGGTGTTTAAACTGAGTTAGAAGAGGTAGAATTGGGAACAAGATCCCTGAGTCCTGCTTAACTCTTAGCAGCTGATGTTTCTTTCCTGGGACTATCTTGTGTGATCTCTACAGTTCGGATCTGGGTCACTGTACCATTAGGGTATTCACATTTGGGCTTGACTTACGGGTTCCTTTAACCACGGGTACGTTGCTGTGATGGTGGCAATCAGCTGAAAGCTGATGAGATGAGTCTGTTGGTACTCTTTCGCAGATATAGAAATCATGGTATTGATAAAAAACAAAACAAACAGCTGCGAGGTGAGACGCAGAAAGCTGAACTACCGCCGTGGATGTCCGGGACCCACCTGAAGCTCCACTGGGCTCCGCGAGGCAGGCGAGGGATACCCTGGGGAGAGGGGCCCGGGGCAGGCGGTGGCGCCCAAGGGAGAGGAGGCGGGTGAGCGTAGCCTGAGGCTGGGAGAGGGGCTGGGAAAGAGAGACAGAACGAAGCGCGAAGGCTCCTCCTGCGGCTCCTTCGCTCCGCGGGGACGCGGAGAGCGGGGGCGGCGGCGCGGGAACAGCGGAGCGGGGACACGTCAGACAGAAGGGAGCGCCGGGCTGGCCGCGAGTGGGCTCCGCTGCCGTCTGGGCGTGCTGCCGTGTGAGCATGCTGCTGTCTGAGCATGCTCCCGCGGGGCACCGCCGGCTATATAACACCGCCGAGCCCCGGCGGCAGAGGCAGCGGCTCCGCTGAGGCACCCGGGGAACATCGCACCGCTCCTCTGCATCGCTCCACACCGCACCTCTTGGCATCGCTCCCCACCGCACGGTACCGCACCGCCCATCTCGGCACCGCGCTCCGCTCTCGCCGCACTCCGTATCGCACTGCACCGCACTCCGCTGCGCACCGCGCCTCTCCGGACAGCCCCGCTCCGCGCGGTACCGCACCGCTCCGCGGGGCCCATCCCTGCCCGGCCGCCGCTGCCCACCGGAGCCCCGGCGCCCGGCACGGCCGAGGCAGCGAGCCCCGCTCCGCCGGCCCCGGCCCCCGCGGCGGGCGCTCCCGTGGGCGGCAGGATGGCCGCGAAGCCGGCCGAGCTGATGGGCATCTGCTCCAGCTACCAGGCGGTGATGCCCCACTTCGTGTGCGTGGCCGAGGAGTTCCCGCCGCCCTCCCGCCCCGTCAAAGCCCCCAGGGGCAAACTGCGGCGGCCGCGGCAGTCGCGCTTCAAGACGCAGCCGGTGACTTTCGACGAGATCCAGGAGGTCGAGGAGGAGGGGGTGTCTCCTATGGAGGAGGAGAAGGCCAAGAAGTCTTTCCTGCAGTCGCTGGAGTGCCTGCGGCGGAGCACCCAGAACCTCAGCATCCAGCGGGACCGCCTGGGCAGCTGCCGCCTCCGCAACAGCCTCGACTCCAGCGACTCGGACTCGGCCCTCTGAGTGAGGGCAGCGGGGCCCGGCGGGACCCTGCCCGGCTCGACGGGACCTGGCGGGACGCGGCCGGCGGCCGCGGCACGGACTGGGCTGCAGGGAGCTGCCCCGCCGCCGGCCCAGCAGCGCCCGGAGCGGGCAGCCGCGTTGGGATGTTTTCTAAGAAAGCGCTTGTACCTTCGTTTCTATTTGATTGTATGAAACTCTCCATTTAAAAGACAAAAAAAACCCCACGAAAAAAATATCTTTTCTATTCGTTAGAAGAAATGAGCTGTTTTAGATGCATTGAGCTGCTGGACTTTATATTTATTTTTGCATTTAAACTGTTGACTGCATTAATTTAATATGTTTCTACCTGAATGTCTGTTATCATTTCCATAAAAGAGTAATAAAATCTGATATATTTGCACAGTACTCATCGGATTGTCCTTATTTGGGAGATCCAACTGTCCTCGTTCAGCTGCCTTTCCCTTTTGTAGGCTAGAGGGATTTAAATTCTGTCGGTAGCTAGCAGGGAACCAGCAATACTTTCCTCGAGGATGCTGCTCAAAGTAGTTTTACAGTCTATACTGTCAGGTATAAGCTAATGAGACAAAAGTCAAGTTAGATTGATTTTAGACAACTTTATTTGCTTCTTGAGATCTTTGTGTTAACCTGAATTGATGGTTAAGGAGTGTTTGTAACTGGCTTTGTCTGAGAACCTATGTGGTCATGCTTCTCTTGGAGTTAAAAAGCATGGGCATTTTCATTTGTTATAAGAGTGAAGTTTCTGTGGGGCTTCTGCGTGTGTGTGTGCAGGTGCATGTAAGATTTTCTCTGTCTATGGCATATGTGCTAAGGAGCATCTGAAGCTCTCTGCAGAATGAAAAGCAAATTCCTGGGCTGAAAATATTCTCACTGTATTTTTTCCATTCTCTGGAAATATTTCTGTACTAATAGTGTGATCCGATGAGAGCATCTTCCTGCAGGGCAAGCCTCCAGCAGTTGAAACTTCCCACTTAGCAGGTATTAGATGATACTGAGCTGTAGCCTCTAACTAATATTTCTCTGGTACAATTTTCTTGGTATATTCTTATGTCCTGACTTGAAGTGCAATCATACTGATCAAAAGAGAGAGGTAAGGGCTGGAGCAGAGGTAAAAAGATGAATGTGGTGCAGGAGAACAGGATGCCTAGTACCCTCTGGGCACTGAAGGAAGCAGATGAACTGAGCAAGGAACCCAGTGGTGGCTGCTGGCTCTGGCACAAGTGAAGGCTGTCTCTCTCTAGTTTAAAGCCGAAAAAAATCAGAGGGCACAGGGGGTGGCTTGTTTTTGGACAGGTCCTTCACCAACTTTCATAACTACAGGAAGAGCTTTAAAACTCCCTTGCAGTAGGAGAGCCAGCTGACCTCCAGCACCAGGGGAGGGTTGTGCATGGAATTCAGCAGGTAAGGAAACAGATCTGGACTCTGACTCAACCTCCCTGTAAAAAAAGCATTTAAAATACTCTATCTGTCTCCCTGTATGCAGTCTGTGGAACAGCTTGACTCCCTTTGCCGTTAGACTGTGATGATTGCTTTCTCCATAGATGCAGTACATATACGCACAACATCTACACACAAAACAAAGCAACTTGACCTCCAGAACAGCTTTCAGTCAGGCAGACAAACTGGAATCAGTAAGACATAATCAATTACCAGCAGCTGAGCTAATTTTCCTCAACAAATTCCCAATGTTGTTACAATTCTGTGAGTTCTGGGTTTGTGAAAGGGTTTGCAACATCTATGGGAATACTTAGCCATGTGCCTAAACGTTGCATAATGCATACAGTGAGCTAATGAGCTCCATGAGATTTCCAGAGGTTGTATAGCGTCCTTCCCATACTGCAGGTTTTAGACTACTTTTCAGTCTCCTTTTGCTTTCACCTCTGGTGCAAATCTCTGTGATGCAAAAAGTGTGTGGTAGCTTCAAGGGCATGTGAGTGCATAATCCTTGTCCACACTCATAATTCCTGTTCGGCATCTGGGATTACTAGCAGGCCATTTACCATTGCCCTTCCCATCCCTATTTCATCCTGCAGCTGTGGTACCACCACCCAGGAGGCACAATAGGCTGTGCTGCACCAGCCAGCAGTGGAGCATCAGATGCTTCCTGGGAGGGGGAAAATACTGCTGCTTCAGGAGACAAATGCGGATGTTAACACAGAAGACAAAGAGAGTTCGGGAATCTGTTGTAGCATAATCTTTGGAGAAAATGGCATATTCCAGTGCTTAGGCTGAATAAATAAGTTTCTCTTCAAGTGTTCTTTGTTAACATTTTTCTTCTTCGTCTGAGCGAATAACATGAGAGATGCCAGTGCTAAATATAGACTAGTGTTTATCTTCCAAACAGTTACAATCAAGGCAAA